AAGCAATCCGTTCTTATAAGTTAAATAAGTAAAGTGCACTTTTCCACACATTCGGGCATATTGGGCATTGAAAAGCTAGACCTAAATTTTTTTATTCGTTGGGTGATGTGGTCAGCATCACATAGGCCCACTTTACTTCCCGGGACTTTACCTGGTACCTAGGGTAACCTGGTAGCCAAGGATTCGTTTTTGTACAATACTGATATTCCCGCTAATAAGCAAAAAAAAAAAAAAACTTCCCCGTGTTGACACTACGACACAGTTGAGGAATATGATGATTGCCTTGTTTATTTTTCTTGCGAAGTCAGAGCTGTGTCCGTGGGTGATCAGTCTCTCACCGGCAGCTTCTATTTCCCACGGTCTTCCCGATTTCCTAGTTTTGGCTAGGCCGACCTGATAGCCGAGGCTGAATTAGGAGAAAATAAACATCTCGAGATAGGGATTCGAACACTTGAGCACTGGTCCTCGACCACAATGACAGCGGCGCTAACCACTGATCCACCACTGACCATGTTCTCTAACTTAATACTTTTTTAAATCCCCGTGTGGGTTCCAGGGCCCTAACAACCATGTCGTAAAAGGCGACTAATTAAGGGATGTTTCATCCGAAGTCGGTGTGCTTTTGTCTGAGAGGCGTAGAGCCAACAGTGTGTACATAAGTAAGATCTGTAAAACGTATGCGCATGCAAAACTCAAGTTCTAGAAAAAGACCAGAACTGGACGAACAACAAATTTACAACCCGTGAACGACAAGAAGAAGAAGAAGAAGTTGAAGAAGAAGAAGAAGAAGTTGAAGAAGAAGAAGAAGAAGAAGAAGAAGAAGAAGAAGAAGAAGAAGAAGAAGAAGAAGAAGAAGAAGAAGAAGAAGAAGAAGAAGAAGAAGAAGAAGAAGAAGAAGAAGAAGAAGAAGAAGAAGAAGAAGCAGCAGCAGCAGCAGCAGAAGAAAAAGCAGCAGCAGAAGAAAAAGCAGCAGCAGCAAAAGAAGAAGAAGAAGAAGAAGAAGAAGAAGAAGAAGAAGAAGAAGAAGAAGAAGAAGAAGAAGAAGAAGAAGAAGAAGAAGAAGAAGAAGAAGAAGAAGAAGAAGAAGCAGCAGCAGCAGAAGAAAAAGCAGCAGCAGAAGAAAAAGCAGCAGCAGCAGCAGCAGAAGAAGAAGAAGAAGAAGAAGAAGAAGAAGAAGAAGAAGAAGAAGAAGAAGAAGAAGAAGAAGAAGAAGAAGAAGAAGAGGAATCCCGTAAAATAATATCTAACAACTGATGTTTATTCACAGGCTCACAACCAGTCTAATTAATGCTGAGACAGAAGTCAGCTATATAAGAACACAATAGCAGATCAGACAGAGCGTTGCGTCTAAACAGCATTCATCAGCAAGAAAACACAAACAAATCCGATTGTAAGCAGACGAATCAACACTAATACAATCACAAATTTTGATGTGCTTAATTTTAATCAGGATTTAAAAAAAAATATTGGGTTGATGAAACTAACTGCCGGTGAGAACAAATGCAATCACTTTTTGTGTCAATATCTGCTCGATCCGTTTTGCGGCGCGGTTTCACGAATAAGAGATAGTCGAGCTAGGGCGCGCTCGGTTGTTTGGTATGCTGGGATATTATGAGATCTTAGGCTGCCCGTTTATACATAGATCTGTGGTGCTTCTTTCGAAGTCGGAAGTGCATTTGCATGAGAGACCAGCAGCCAACAGTCTGCACACAAATAAACCATATCTGCGCAACGGATGTCAGGAAATGTCTACGAAAGTAAAGATAGCCATACGTTTTTACCAACATTACTAATCCAGTGTATGTCGCATATATACATTATACTGTTAACAGTTGCATTCTCCTTAGGATTATAGTCTGTAGGATTAATATCTCAAAGATAAAAATCCATCCTTGTGGGTTCCATGGCTCTATTGTGAGGAAAACAAGAATAGACCGATTGCCTATCTCCCCAAAAAATATGTCGTAAGAGTCGACTAATTTTGAGCTTCCTTTAAAGTCGAAGTGCATCTGCATGAGAGGCAAGGAGCCATCAGTCTGCCTACACAGAAGTAAGATATGTAAAACTGATCCGCATGCAACATTCAGGTTCTGAGACAAGACCAAAGTACAGAGGTGGACGGGTAACAGAACTTTCCGCGCCAGTTTACAGTTGGTGTTTTTCCCTTTATGTTTTTGCCCTCATGTTTTTCCCTTTAGGATTGCAGTTGTAGGATTAACATCCCAAAGGAAAGAATCAAACAGATACCAATCGCAGGAACCCTGTCCAACCTCATTTTTGTTTGTTTGTTTGTTTGTTTGTTTGTTTGTTTGCGTTCAACAGCCATAAACTTTGACAAGAAGTCTTGGTTGTTCGTCCACTTCTAGACGTTGGCTTTGTCCCAGGACCTTAATTTTGCGTATGCTAACGTTTTACATCACCGGCCTAACTGTATGCAGACTGTTGGTTCCTTGCATCTGGGGCAGATGCACTCCGACTTCTGAAAAAAATCCCCCTGATTAGTTGATTCCTGCGACACGCTTGTTAGGGCGAGAGTGGGTCTATTCTTGTCCCCTTCTTCCCCTCCCCAACCCCCAGCTTTGGGGTCCCGGAACCCGCGCTGGGAGTTCAGTCCTATAGCTATGCAGTGTAGTTTGACTGGGGCACCGCACAGTAACATGCAGTGCCCTCTGAGTGGGTCTGCTAAATCGTTATCTGTATGTCAGGGATGGACAACTTCGGCGGGTCAAATTCAGAATGACCACTTGGTGGTGGACCATATGGGAAAAGGGGGAGGGGGGAGACCCATTATAGACACTTCTTCTTTTCCTCCTTTGTTTACCGGCTGTAAGCTCAGGCGGAAAGTCCTGGTTGTTCATCCATTTGGACTTTGGCTTTGTGCCGGAACCCAAGTTCTGCCTGTACATCCGTTTTACTGACTTATTTGTGTGCAGCTGGTTGTTCCTTGCCCCTCAAGAAGATACAATCAAACTTCGAAAGAAGCCACTTGTCGACTCCTACGACATTCTTGTTGAGAGGCACCTAGTCTATTCTTGTTTTCCCGACAATGGGGCACCGAAACCCAGGCACGGAATTACAAACCCACCATTCAGATTTCCGAGTTACACTTTTGTAGGATAATCTAAGTTTCTTATCCCTTGCTATGCCTCTGATCAGACACACCCACCCACTGAAACGCTTCTACATATTCCCAAATGTATCTGTTCAAGGCTGGTTATTCGCAGATATCATAAGAATGAGATTTGGCGACACCAGTTTCTGGTAATCACCGCTACGTTATCACTTTCTTTGTTTATGTTGATAGTTGGGATTTTGCTGCATTCGGACGTATATTTGTGTGTGTTTTGCTATTCTGAGAGCTCAAGGGCCTGACGGTATAGTATAATAATCACAGGCCTCGCCAGTTTTAACCCACCTGTATTACGTAGTACATCCAATTTGTATAACTCTAGTGATTAGTTGCAACAGATGTTCAAATTATTGCCCTGGTTGTTCAGATGAAAGCTTCTAACTTGGAAAAAAAAAGTTTTTGAATTAAATGGCATAACTAACAGGCAAAATATAGTTCGCATTTTTACATTCTTTTTCTGTTGTAAATTAACTCGCTCGAATTACAAATAACGCAGATAAGTATTTAAACGAAACCTAATTATTATATACCGAATACAGGAGACATGCAATTTTTGAAAAGGCGGTTTTAGAACAGGGAACTGTGCAAATCTGTAAAATCTGTTGGAGGTTTCTTTGAAATTACTGTCTTAGCCAAAATATTTAGCACAAAGAACTAGATCACATATAGACCGTCGCATAGGTATGAAAGTGTGTTTCTTTAAAGGTAGAATATGCCAAAAGAAAGTGGGGGAGGGAAAGAAACCTGATCTCAGCTATAACCAGATCTGTTGAAAGCCTGTTGGACGGGGTCGACCGCCCCACCCCACGCCACCCACCCCCTTCCTCGTCGATTTTCTTTCCTCTCTTCTTATAATCGGAATAGGAATCTTTGAAAACACAACTCCATAAACACTAAATATATTTGCTTTTAATATTTAGGAAAGACTGAGTTCGATTTCCTGTGGGAAAAAAAAGGTACGCTTAAACTGAATACGTGTTTTAACTATAGATTAACGTAAGCCATCTGAAAAATAGGGAGTGTTAAATTTGAAAAAATAGTACGATTAACTCAGTAATAATAGTCACTGATGTTGGGGTGACATTACCTGTAAATGTAACAAGCCATCGCCCTGATATACACATCCACACTGTTACAATCACTACAATTACTGCTGCTTCGTGTACCATTATGACGACTATCGCAACATCAATTATTAATACTACAATTTCCTATGTGGGTTTTGGACCCATTTGTTTTATGGAAGATTATACTTTCCCCAACAAGCATGTCGTAAGATGCGACTCGGATTTTGTTCAGTATGATGACAGTTTTCGAAATTTTGAACCTTAAAAACTGTATTCTGATTTCGCTGCTTATGTAGGCATTTACCGTACCGCCAAATGCAGCCGCATCTCTGTATCATAGAATGGTACGGCTTGAGGCGACTAACTGAGGCCTGGAAAAAATCTGATGTACTGGATATATATATATATATTCCAGTGGCTATTGCCACTACTATACTATACTATACTATACTATATTTATAACATGAATAATTAATATACAATTACGTTAGAATTACGTTGACTTCTAGCTTTGAAAATGTAATAATTGGAAATTTATTTTTTATTTCCCCCACTCCCCCACAGAACTGATGAATCTGCCATGATGCAAAAGAGAAGATAATCACCTAACACAAAGACACGAAAACAGTTGCGTCCATACTGGATTATCCCTGGTGACACCCGCCAAAGAACACAATAACGTCGGACAAAACAATTTAACCAAGGGAATTTCGGCCAAATTATTCAAAACGAAGTATTCAAACCCTCCCCCTCTTCGGCCCGCCAATTCTACTTGCTGCCACCGGATTCGGTGGTAATAGGAGATGTCATTGAGTCCTCGGCCGTCACACTTTTCCCACCACTCCCACTCGACACCGTTCTCGGTAACTGACATTTTGCATCCTTCTTCTACATCATCAGCCCTGGATCCCGACTTCAAGAAGACAGTGGAGGCGGGGATACCTCCTTTGGGGAGTTACCGATCCCCCCAGCATCAAACCATGGGGTCTATGGGAATGGGAACCATGGGAGTTCCTGTGACCAACCCGTACGCTAACTACGTGCCACAGTTTTCTCACCACACTTCAACGTTTCCTGGCCAGTACTGCAATGGAGGGGATTTCTCTGCCTATGCTGACCCAACCGGAAGACATAGCACGGCTGGGTGGTACGGAAGCGCTGCCGACAGTCGGTTTAGTCGTGAGTACACCTCTATGTTTGTTGTTTGTTTGTGTGTCCAGGACATAAAATAATTTAACTTGTGTGAGCTCTAAATAACCCATGATGAGTGAATCACCCTATCTACTGAATCCCCACCGTAGCTTAATATGTTCTCTGAGTTTTGTATTTGGTCAACCGGTAAGGCTAACCGCGTCAACAACTGCCCGCAGAAGTCGGATGTATTGACCGAAAGGGGCAGATATCGCAGCCATGCTGTGAACAGACACAACGCAATTACATCTTCGGATGAATGCAGAAGAAGAAAAAGTATATTTGGTCAGTAATTTTGTGTATTCGTGTCTGTACATGTGGTTTTCTTGATTTATGTAATATGCTGATGAAGGTTCTACAGCCGCAACGTTTGTATTTTGTTACATTGTAAAAGTCGATAGTCTACTTTTCGTATGGGTTTAAATCTTGTTGTATTTGGTCAAAACATTCTCAAGAAATCTGGCTTACCAAATGACCACAAGTTGATGTTATATTACAACTTTGAAAGCAATTCACTGATGAATTTTAATCTTGGACATCTCTTCATTTACATCTCATACAACAACTTCTGGTAATAATAGAGATAAACAATCAGGTACCGTCTCCGCAATGACGGTTAGCTGCAGTGAATCTCCGGCATGTTCTCTTTCACCATGGATGTACGCTCTCTCATACTACTGTTCATATATCTCTTGGTTTTATCCCACCACTTGTTTCGTTGTCTTCTTCTTCTTCTTCACGTTCACCAGCTGTAAACTCTGGCGGAAGGTTCTGGTTGCTCGTCCACTACTGAACTGCAGTCCTGCTCCAGAACCTGAGTGTTGCGTGTGCATCAGTTTTACAGATCTCATTCTCTTGAATACAGACTGTTGGTTCCTTGCCTCTCCGGCAGATGCACTCCGACTTCAAAGGAAGCTTCCCAATTAGTCGACTCTTACGACATGCTTTTGGGGAGGCAGTGGGTCTATTCTTGTTTTCCCCACAATAGGGTCCCGGAACCCACACGGGGGATTTCGTTGTCTTGACTTGCTCGTTTGCCTTTACATTTTCTTTTATTATGGTTCATAAAACAGTGTTCTGTCTTCCAGTGTGGTTCTTATAAGAGTGTTCTGTCTTTCAATGTGGCCAAAATATTTCAACTGTCACTTAGTTTTATCCTCGAGCAATCCCAGTTCATGTTTTTCCGTTTTTTTCTTTTTTTCGATGTAATTTTTTTTATTCTTTCCTTGTTTCTTATTAAAAGGGAGATTCAGGTTTTGAACCATACCTGATACAGACATGATTTACAAATGAGCTTTTCAGTCCATAAAACTAACAAACGTGTGAGAGACAAAATAAACAAATTTACAACACACTGGGAGCCTCTTTTGGCATCGGTAAAACTTCTGAAGCTAGCTTGGTTCGGGCACGTGGTCAGACATGATTCGATTGCAAAACTGTATGTACTTCAGAGAGCATTGGGGGTGGGGATGGAGACGGAGGGTGGGTGGAAGGGGGGGGGGGCAACGTTGGAAGGGGGTGGTGGGCAAAGAAGACCATGTGAAGACATCATCAAGAAATGGACAGGGGTAAGTTCTGATACACTTCTTCAACAAGCGGAAGACATAGAAACATATACGGGTTTTCTTTGATATAGCTGCCTTAGATTCGCTCCCACGAACCTAGTGCGTAAGCGGTACGATATGTCGGTTAATGTCCCCATAAAGTACGATAAGTGAACAAAACATTTCATTAGGGAAATATCTGCCAGTACTTTTATCTACCTACCACCTTTGCGCGGGGGTTGGAGGGGGGGGGGGTTGGGTAAAAAGGGGGGGGGGTGGCCTTTTTGCCTGAGGTTTAAGAGCACGAACTTTGCAGGTTATGAATGTATTTTTGCCACCCCCCCCCCCCCCCCCAAAGCCACAAAGTTACCGAGGAGATGAAGCTGGTTCTCCCGCGTGAGTGGCCAGCGTTGTTAACTGTTCGGCCACCACCATCGTCGTCATCAGCATCACCACACCATCACTATCATCACCCAAGACCTGAGTGTTACGTGCACATCCGTTTGACAGATCTGACTTAATTGTATGCAGATTGTTGGTTCCTTGCCTCTTAAGCAGATGCACTTCGACTTCGAACGAGGCCCCAAATTAGTCGACTCCAACGACGTGATTGTTTGAGAGGCAGTTGGCCTATTCTGGTTGTTCCGACAATGGGGGCCTGAAAACCCACACAGGGGATCTGGCAAGCAAATAATTGTTATTTTCCTTATCACACACACACACACACATATGCCACCATCATCACCACACACACAAGCATACACACGCCACCACACACACACACACAAACACACAATCACACTCACAAACACACATATGCCACCATCACCACCACACACACACACAAGCATACACACGCCACCACACACACACACAAGCACACACACGCCACCACACACACACACACACACACTCGTAAACATACACACGCAATCACACACACCCACACTTGAAAATACACACGCCACCACACACGCACATACACACACTCACAAACATACACACTCCACCAAACACACCCACACTTGAAAATACACACGCCACCACACACACACACACACACACACACACACACACACACACAAAGACACTGACAAACACATACATGTGTCAATAATTATTGTCAAGCAAACATGTAAATGCTTAAATAATTATGCGAATAAACATACTTATCATTTACTAAAGAGGCTACGGGATTGATAAGTAAACACGTTTATCAAGAAAACGGGTAGACTGAGAAGCAAAGAAATAGATAAAGAGATACAGAAGAATTGTGATAAACAAATAAAAACATCAAAGTAAAGAAACAGACAAATGTATTTAACAAAAATTTTCAACAGATAAGGAAATAACCAACGGATATTAAATAAATATTAACAACAAAAAAATGTTTATGTAAACAATTTCAACATGTAACCAAACTGAATAAATAAATACAGGAAAAAGAAAAGAAGTTACAGAAACAGAATTATAATATATTTCAATAACAAACATACTATGTATTAATGGGCACTTATAGAAGGAAGTAGAAATATCTTAGACACACTAGACAACATACAAATCGAAAACTATTATATATTTAATAAAAAAGGCAGATAATGTATCGATCGAAACTCATAAAAAGAAGTAAAAAGGTAGAAGGACACACTAGACAACATAAATATGGCTTTCGATTTTAAAGTTGTCTAGTGTGTACTTCTATCTTTCTGCTTCCTTCTATGAGTGCCAATCAATACATTGTCTGTTTGTTTATTGATATATACAATTTCTGTGGCCTGGAATGTTCACCTATCTGTCTACGGGAAAAGAAATAGTTATAAAGTTATTACAAGAAAAAAGTAAATAAAATAATAAGCAACACACACACACACACACACACACAGACACTCACAACAGAAAAATCATCATTATGTGCCGCGCCGGTAAGCCTACGCTGTCATGTTGTGATCTCACAAGACAACCAAATTCCCGGATCAGTCCAATGTCTTTTGTCTGGCCCCCATCCATTTTGCCAGGCCACCCAGTTATCTGCTGCTGTCCTCTTGTTCTCTTTCCGTCAGTGCTGCCAGTTGTGACCAAGCTCTTGAGCTTATTCATTCTCACACTTTGTCCCAAAATATATTCTTCTTCTTTCTTTGCGTTCACCAGCTGTAAACTTTAGTGGAAAGTTTTGGTTGTTCGTCCATTTCTGGACTGTAGCCCTTACTAAAACCTGGGTTTTGCATGTGCATCCGTTTGACAGTTGTGAAACATTTGTGTGCAGACTGTTGGTTCCTTGCCTCTCAGGCAGATGCACTCCGTCACCATTGACAAGTGAACGTTGCGACTAGAAAGACTTCATCAGCACATACTACTAATAGGCAGTGTTACCTTTACAGACAAGACTTAACAAAAATCACTTAGCTGAGGTGTCCACAAGACAGATACGCATGTCTGTCTGGCCAGTTGAAGCTCTAAGACATCACAGAAAAACATACATTTGTAAAAAACAAAAAAAAATTATAATATCGGTAGTTTTTTAACGAGATAAATTAAAGAGGAAATTAGCATGTAAATAAATATATAAAGTGTCTACCTACACAGAGAATGAAAAAAAGATAGATACACATTTCTTTTATATATGCTCGTATAAGAAAATAAATCAATAGATTGACCAAGAAGTAAGCATGAAAGTAAGTACAGGGATGAATGCAAATATGAATACGCGATTAAACAGAGATGAAATAATGCCTTGGAAGAGCTGCAAGGAAAGACAGAATACTAAATCATGAAATCAGACGAATGCTAGGAATAAAGTCAGTCTTACAGGTCATCAAAGAACAACAAATAAAGTGGTTTGGACACCAAACAAGAATGCCCTGGTACTATATGCCACAGCGAGCCACATTAAAACGTTACAACGGGTATAGAGCGAGTGGAAGACCTCGAAAAAAATGGATTGATGGCATTAGGAACAGCCTAACAGAAATGAACATCAGTCCTAATAGTGCTCTTGACAGAGCTCATCAACGAACATTACATCTCCCCCCGACACTTCGATGAGGTACAAGGTGGAAGAGAAGAAGAAGAAGAAGAAGAAGAAGATGAAGAAGAAGAAGAAGAAGAAGAAGAAGAAGAAGAAGAAGAAGAAGAAGAAGAAGAAGAAGAAGAAGAAGAAGAAGAAGAAAAAGAAGAAAAAGAAGATTAAACGAAATATATGTAATAGATACAGAAATACATTATACATGGCGATAAATCCGCCAGTTGATGACAATCAAGATAATTATTTAAATAGTTAACATGATATCAACAGCTAAAAAGTCAGTTAACAGAACACAAATACAAAAATAAAATGCAATAAATAAAGTTAACATAAGTAATGAATAAAAGTTAAATAGGTTTAGGTTTAAACAACACATCAACATCATGGCAAAAAGGAAGTAACCCATAGGTGCTTCGTTCTTC